TCAAACGCCTGAAGTCGATCAGGTCAAACGCCTGAAGTCGATCAGGTCAAACGCCTGAAGTCGATCAGGTGAAACGCCTGAAGTCGATCAGGTGAAACGCCTGAAGTCGATCAGATCAAACGCCTGAAGTCGATCAGGTCAAACGCCTGAAGTCGTTCAGGTGTCGGCAAAAAGAAAACGATTAACCAGATTATTGAGGCGACGTGTGTTTTCGTGCATTTCATTTCTTTGTGTAGTGTCTTATAATATTTCTTGTAAATTGATGCTGAATAAACTGAAGTGAATTAAAACAAATGCGACGAGCAGCTTTAAAGTGATAGTTCACATCTTTAGTAGTGGTGGTTCCAACCCTAACCCAAAACCTTTTTAATGATGAAAGAAATTATGTTAAAAACATAAAAATTCAAGTTGTTTTAAGATAAATAAAACACTTTGGTCTTGTCCCTCAGCCGTTAGCTCATCCACCTGGTCAGAATTAAACTCTGTTTCTCTAAACTGAGGTTGTTAACAAAGTTATCTACAACAGGTAAGATATTTACTGTTGTAATGTTTGTTTATCCGCCCTCCCTTCAAAAGACACCGCCTCTTTTGTTCTGTTTCATTCAGCAGATTAGTTTGAGATCTGATCTATAAAAACTGTTGAGTCATTAAAACAGAGCAGGATGTGCTGAGTCATGGTAACGAGGCTCAAAACATTTTCCGACTCACAAACAGGAAGAGAAGAAATAACACACCAGATCTGCTGGTTGGAGGTATATTTTTAACTTTAGGCAGTTGTTTGTGGGTCGAGTCAGCCGCAGCAGAACCCGTCCGAGCCAAACAGAACTCACATGTTAATCCTTCGGGTCAGCAGCCGGGTCAACATGCTGACCAGATGCATTCTGGGCAATTCATAGGTTCATCTTAACACATTTTATTTTATTTTCATATTAAAAAAAAATACTTTATTATTTTTGCCGAGTTAAATTGCACCTGCACTGTTTTACTTTTGTTTTGTTTTTTTTTGTTTTTTATAAAAAGAAATTTACATCAAGGAATATTAATTTACAGTAGAAGTTTAAAACATTGAAAATAAATCAGATGCGGCTTATTTTACTTTTATTTGTTTGACTTAACTTTGGTTCTCCCAAATTAGGATTATTTTAAAGCTTTACGTATAATTAATTCCCTCCTAATCATAACGGAGGAGTTAGGCGATGAATATAAAAATATGACTCGTCACAATAATAATTTTAATACTTTATGTTTATCAGTCTTCAGTTCATTTTATTTGTCTCGTTCGGTGTTTGGAGTATTTTCTATTTGACAATGAAATAATTCATGAAACATATTCATAAACTTTGAACAAAAAAAGGTTAAAGTTCAATGAATAAACTCAAAATAGAAAAGGATGTTGATTCGTTTGGTTTTCTGTTCACAGCCCTGTTTCTGCAGAACACGGTAAGATCGTCCACGCTTTAATCTCTTCTTTGTTTTTTTGTTATTTTTATGTCGAAGTCTTTAATGACATGAAAAAATCTTTATGAATTTAAACATTTAATCTTTCGGTCTTCTTGTCATGAAATTCATGTACGAAGATAATCTATCTGTTAAAAAATATAAATGTTATGTTAAATCTGTCCTTTAATTTGTAGGACTTCTTTTAGAAAGTGTTTTTTTTTTTCTGTTTAATGAAGGGAACGATGGAACGATGGAGCAGTTCACAAAAGAAATGCAGGTAAGCTCAGAAAAGGCTCAAGTTTGAATTGTACGTAAAAATAAATAAGGTTCAAGATCTGCATTAAATGTTTTAGTTGATGTAAGAAACTTCCGTCCTGCAGCCAAAATGACGCAGAAAGTTGCTTCTTGTAATTTTGTCAACGTATTCAGATCAGTCTGGAAACGAGTTTTACATCCTGAGGTACCTCGAGCTGTGAAACTGGAACAGCGTGTTAGTAAAATGTTGCTCTAAACGATAAAAATGTGTTTCTAATTCCCTGCGCAGGATCCACATTTATCACAGAGGAAGTTACTCCAGATAGCAGGAGCTGCACTTCCTTTTCCTCCCATCAAGGTGACAGGAAACAGAAAAGTGTAATATCATAAGATATTTCTGTTTCTTGTGCAACAATGAGCCGTTTTGTATTTTCACCTGTGATAACAGGTTCTGTTGAACGGGGAGACGTGTGTTCTGCTCCAGATGAAGAAACTCTCTCTTCGCTACAAGAAGCAGAAACCTCTGGACCTGACAGAACGGGCCTTTTCTCCTCAGAACCCGGTCGACACCGGTCAGTCCGTCTGCCGCCGGGACAAAGCCTCGTACGTAAATAAACCTTCCACACTTTGACAAATCCTGGCAGCGTTAGTATAATTTGACAAACACGACGTCTTTTTGGAATTAACTTTTATTTTTGCTTTACAAAGAAAACGTCCAAATATGCATCAGCTTCTTTTTATGTATCTAGTATTTTTAATTAGCTTTTTATTTGAACAAAAATTGGACTTTTTTATCTTGTTATACCTACAGATCATTTATTTCTCAAAGCTAAAATGGCAGAAAGTTTTTTTTTTGTGAAAAATAAATTAAATATAAACAAATGTAATCAGTTTTAGGACCGATTCAATGTGACACTAGTTGTATCGTTTGATGATTGACGTCAACAAAGTGAATATTACCGGAGTCTGACGAGTCTCTGCATCTTCAACACAAACATCATTTATTATTGTTGCGTTTCCATAAATTAATTCACTTTAGATGTAATGTGGAAAACATTTGCAAGTGTTGTTTGTCTGGAAATAGATGATATGTCTAATAGATAATAGATGCTGTTCATGTGTCTTCATGTCGTCTACAAGTTGTCCGTCTGCCTATATTCTCTCTATTTGTCCATATTCAGTTCAAATGTTTTCCAACCTTATTTCTACAGGTTAGTCTCATGAAGCCTCAAGAACTTGTATACAAGAAAGACTTGTTTTTAATAAAGAACGCCGATGAAAACAGTAGACAAGCATAGAAAAAACACAAAATGAAAAGTGTGCAGACAGATGTCCACACATATGTCTACATGTCATCTACATAGACCACTTGTCTGCATATTGTCTATGTGTTTACAATGTAGACATATAGACAATATGCAGACTCAACATATTGTCCGTGTCTTTATGTCGTCCACATGTATACTCATCGTATATCTTAGTCAGGGGTGGGCAATTATTTTTTCCATAGGGCCACATGAGAAACAACAAATATTGTGGAGGGCTGGTACAAATGACTTTTTCATTCAACCTTTATTTAGACGGTAAATCCCATTGAGCCTCGAGGACTCATTTACAAGAGAGACCTGATTTCAACTTAACTCAATACTGTATAATATTAGTATTTCATTATTAAAAGCAGTACATAGCACTGTTTTAACAAGCTGGTAAGAGTATTTGTTATGATTAAGCAACAAAAAAGTGAGGTTTCCTTACAAAAAATGTCATTTATTCAATTAAATTTCCCAGTACAATGGTAAACTGTTAACATTTTTACCATTTGTGACGTTATATTAATGATCATTTTCAGTCACATTCACCCCAAAACTCATTTTGAGTTTTATATACTGCTGGAAAAAAGCTTTGTAAATATATCACAATATTGTCTTTGTACTCCAAATATTATGAAACATCATATAATAGTGATCGTCACTGAACTGTGATTTTGAGTCCCGGTTCTTTACGTGCCTACATTTGTAGTCTAAACAGCTCATTTGGTGTTTACCAGTTCTTTTTTCTTGTTTAGTGAGAGAAGTTTAGTCTCTGTTGGGCTTTATCGGAAATGTTAAAGTCAGGTTGAATGTCTGAGGTGGAGATGTGAAGCAAAGCTGACATCATCATTGAGAGAGGATCTATCTCTGGATTTGGTTAACTTCATTTGTTTACATATGTATTTTGTAATTCCCCTTACGGGGGCGGTCAGAGTCAACCAAAGGGCCGCATGTGGCCCTGGGGCCGTGCAACGCCCAGGTCTGTCTTAGATCATATAGCCCCGTGGATAAGGGGCTATAGTGTCCATCTGTCTACAAGATTGATATTTGTCCACATGTGTCCTCATGTTTGTGTTTTTCTTCAGGTTGGTCATGAGGTTTGGAGATGTGGAAGATTTGAGGGACCTGTCAATCAAGTGAGCCTGATCTGCTGCTTTCAACTCCAGAATCTTAATAGTTGTCAAGATTTTTTAACAGAATTTTTTCCAAGTCTTTTTTTATACTTGACCAAAATATGTATTTTCCTGTTTTTTTTTGTTGTTTAGTTTTTATACTTTAAGATTTGAACATTTTACTTAAATATAATCGTATGATTTATATCAGCATCTACTGTAGCTGCAGTTCAGGGACTACAGATAAAAATGGCTAACGCTCGCTGCACTTATTTTAAAGTTAAATAAACCAAGACACTAATCATAATAACTGACTTTGTTTCAGTTTTAGACATTTAATGTTTAAACATGGTGACATTCAGTTTTTGGTCAGATTGTATTGGCTGATCTTCTGAAAGACGAAGCGGGACGATGATGTTTTTGCTAAACTCTGTCCGTTGTCAAATAATCTCATGAAAAAATTTAATAAAACTGGCAGAAAGTGATTATTGATTAAATGTTTGGAACTTTTAGAGCCAATAACCTGATTCAACATGGTCACCATCAGTCACCTGACCTCAGAAAACAACTAAAGGGCTAGAACCAGAACTAGCTAACCCAGAGTGTGGTGTGGTAGTAGCTGAGCATGTTTTTTTGCACGTGTTCATCAGAAAAATCAAAGCAAACTTTCGTCATTAGAAGTTTAGGACATGTGTGTGATTTGATGAACAGCTTTCTACTTAAAGTCCGTTTGACCCTTTTTGCTTCAGGCTGCAACTCTCCAACACGTTCTACGAGTCTTCTGGTCGATGGTGGTTCTCTGTGGACGACGTCACTCTTTCGTACAACGCCTCTGAAGAAGCCGTGTTCAACGCCACTGATGTTTACGCTCCGGCCTCTTTCTCCTACCGCTGCCTCCACGTCAGCAGCCTGCAGAGACACGGCGGTCTGCTGCAGCCGAGCACTGAGCGAGCGCGCCGCTGGTCCGTCGCCTTCGTCGACTTCCAGGTATCTGCATCGATCTGCTCCAGAGAGGATTTTCTTGTGCGCTTGTATTGAAATTAACACTTTATTGTTGCTCACCTTAGATTCAAGCATTCAACGTCAGCGTTGGTAAGTTCTCTCCTGCGAGCGACTGCACCACCGCCCTGACCCCAGCCATCCTGATGGGCCTCATCACGTCCCTCATCCTGCTGCTGGTTTTGGCCTACGCCCTGCACATGGTGGTCCACCTGAAACACGCCCAACATGACGACGAGCAAAAAGTCGACATTTACTTCCCGCAAAACCCCGAGCTCCTCGAACCCTGCTGTGAAGAAACCGTCACTGAGAGGAATGTTGTGAAAAACATCTAAGGAAGAGACGCCGCTGACGTGACGCCAAACCCACAGTGTGATGTTGTTTAGCTGAGTTTTGATTTTATAAGCAAACACTGCTGCTGGTTTGTAGTTTTGCACATTTGTCAACGTATGCCAGTGTCTTTATAACTCAATGAATAAAAACCCATGTGAACTTTCTTTGATTATCCTTTTACGTTTGCAGCGTTTATCAATGTTAGACTTGTTGCATTTCAAAAAGTTTTTCAAATGCATTCTCAATCAGAGAAAAACGGTTTATAATACGTATTTATTGAGAAATGAACCAGGGAAAACATTTTGTATTGATTAGCTGAGTTTCAGGAAAATATTAGAAAAAATGTTGCGTAACACGATGTTGTCTTGAACCACCTGTAGCAGTTTGCTTGTCAACTATTTTATAAGCTAGTGCAACATCACAACATAAATCCATTATCTTCTACCACTTCTTCCTTTTCGGGTCACTGGTGCCCATATCCAGCAGTCACTGTGTGAGAGGTGGGGGACACCCTGGACATGTCTCCTGTCCATCACAGAGACAAACAACCATTCACTCTCTCACTCTCACCTAGGAACAATTTAGAGTTACCAATCAGCCTAACATGCATGTTTTTGGTCTGTGGAAGGAAACCAGAGCACACGGAGAAAACCCACGCTTGCACGGAGAGAACATGCAAACTCCACCCAGAAAGGTCCCTGGCTGGGATTTGACCCAGCAACCTTCTCACTGAGAGGCAACAATTCTACCAACTGAACCACTGTGCCATCCTGCTGGAATTTCTTCAAAATGATTTAAATAGGTGGTAAACATTAAAATAACAATCCTATGAGTCCCCGAGTGTAGATTTACCATCAGAACACAGCACTACAACACAATAAACAGTACAACTAACTTTACTTTTTAGTAGTCATTATGCGGAGTAACGCATTTGATTAATAAAATCTAAATTAAACATTTTTGATTTCATGTTTAGCCTTGTTTAGGTGGACACAAACCAGCGGCTGTAACTGTGGTTTTGTCCGGTGGGGGCGCTCTAACGTTTGCTGAGTGATTCGACCACAAGTCAAGAAGAAGAAGAGGCGCACGTTGACCTGAGGAAAGAGCTCGCAACGAACAGTTTAATGATATTAACAATGCAACCATATTTAAATAGGCGGTTTTGATCACAAAACGTATCGTATATTTCTGTTTTAACCGCTTTGGTAGAAGTTTAATTCAACTCGTCGCTTTATCAGTTTTTTGTTAGTTAGCTTGAAGCTAACAGCTAGCTGCGGAGCAGTTTTTCCGGTCACGTGATCAAACGACCCCTGGTTTCCGTTGAGTGTTTTTCTTCCAGTCACCGGGACTTCATGTTTAACCATCTGTCCGCTGTTCTCGGTGTGTTGCCCCGCTGTTTCCTCCCTCCCTCTTCGAGGACCCTCGCCAGAGCCCACCACCTCCTCAGCAGGATGGAGGCGGCCGTAGTGAGGTGTATTCCCGGGGAGCCGAAGCTCACCATCTCCTTCCGCCTGGACGGCAGCGACAAGAACATGCTGCGGGACAAGGACGAGGCGCTGGGGAAAGTCCTGGCTCGGATCTCCAAAGCTATGAACAAAAAACACAAGAAGGCGAAGAAGTCCCAGAAGAACCGCGATCAGGAGCCGAGCGAGGCTGCGGAGGCCGCCGTGGTGAAGCTGTTCTTCGGGGAGGACGAGGTTAGCGACACGCTGCGGAACTCGGAGGCTTGGCAGGACGGAGGGGTGCTGCAGGTGGGGGAGGTCCGGTACAATGTTTACAGGAACCCCCCCACCTTCACCACAGCCGAGCTGCCGGGGACCCTGCTGGCCGGGTTCCCGGTCTGCCCCAAGCTGGAGGCGGAGTTCGGGAAGCTGCAGGACAGCGAGTTCACCTGGTTCCGAGAGAACCCTTCAAGACGCAGGTAAAGGTGTTCAGGCCCGGTCCCGGATCAACAACGAGGAGCTTCATTTCATAACTCCACGTTTCAGGTCATGAGTCTTGGTCTGGATGTGCTCCCTCACTTTGTTCAGTAAATGCATCAAGTTTAAAATTTTAACTAATTTAGTTGCTGAAATGTGCACGTTCTCAAACCTGCACGTGCACGCACAGTTGTACAAGCACGGTGCCATTCCAGATGTGTAAGCTGCTCGTGTTAGAGGCACTAATGCACTCCCATACCATCAGAGAGGCAGACCGTGTGACTGCACTCTCCTCTTTAGTACCGAGCACTAATTCTGTATTTTGATTCGTCCGGCCACAGAACAGTTCAAAACAGATGTGCAAACAGATGTTTGCCACTAAAATCATTGACCTTGATATGGAGAAGAGGAAAAAAAAGTTTGTCTCAAACACATTCAACTCTCATGAGCTGTTTCTGTCTCATTCCAGTCCAGAAGCAGCTGAAGACGTTCCAGGACAGGACTGTGGATGGACGCAGGTTGGACGGGAGCGAGTCCATGTCCCGTCCAATCAGGACATCGGCTGCAGGTTCAAACTGCGCTGCGTGCCCAAAGACGGAAGTCGCAGCGGCCCGACCAAAGAACTGATCTCAGCGGGAGCAGTGGAGGCGGGACCGGGCGTGTGCACGTTCGACAACCGTCACGCGTACACGGTGAAGGTGCTCGAGTGGCCATCGGTGAGGGTGGTGTCCTACAACATCCTCGCAGACGTCTACGCTCAGACGGAGCTGTCCAAGACGGTGCTGTACCCGTACTGCGCCCCCTACGCCCTGCAGCTGGACTACAGGCAGCACCTGATCAAGAAGGAGCTGGCCGGGTACAACGCCGACATCATCTGTCTGCAGGAGGTGGACAAAGGTGATCGCTGGTGGAGAGTTCAACAGCTCAGTTTCTCATTGTCTCCTGAATATCTCCAGATGTTTTGACCAACCACAGGAAAAGAGGCGTCTGAGTCACAAGATTTAAAGTCTGATGATGATGACTCTTAAGGTTATTTACACATAATCAATATGAATAACCAAACTAATTGGTGCTGGAACATCTGCTGGATGTGGTCGACTGCAGGTAACTCATGTAAAACTAAATTATATGAGCAGTTTAAAAACCGTTTAGTCTGGATTTATTCTTGTTAGAAATACTCTCACGTCCATAAAGTGCACGAGAGCAGTGTTTGTGAACTTTTCAATTTGACTTAATATCTTCAAATTCGTCACTTCAGAAGTTTTAAGTGAGTTTTTTTTAACGAGTGCCCGAAGCTGTTTTTATTGGAATGATGTTGGTAATTCCAGCCCTATGTTTAGAAAGGGTCGCAGTAATGTCAAACGTTATACGAAGGGATTTCCTGGTGCTTCAGCAGCTGGCAGAGTAAAAAGGATCATTTTCCCAGAAAATTAAAAGGATTATTTCCGAAGCTCTAGTTTAAAGGTAGATCAGGGCGATCGTGTGATGCTGTCGTTTTAGACTCAAATCTATAAATTACGACAAAAATTAACAAAAATAAATATATTTGTAGGGTTTTTCTATTTGTGCTCTTTTATTCACTTTGAGCAATAAGCTCAAAAATCTGGAGTCTGCCCCATTTTTATGCCAAACAAAGCCGACATTTTAAATTTAATATAACGGCGGAATAATGTGTAAAGGTAGAAGTGCTGTGACGTGGAGCTGTCCTATTCTGTTTTAAAATATTGAGGACACGGTAAAAAGACATTCTAAATGTAATTTTAATTGTAAAATGAGTTTCAAAGGTAATAACTGGGCGGTGTTGCTGCATCATTAAGTGAGTTTTCGGTCTCTTCAGGGGTTTTTGTGGACAGTCTGGTTCCGGCTCTGGATGCTTTTGGACTGGACGGTGTTTTTAAGCTCAAAGAGAAGCAGCACGAAGGTCTGGCTACTTTCTACCGCAGGTCGGTTCTGCCATCAGTTAAAGTCTCTGTGTCATTTATTATTATTTCATTGTCTCGTCCAGCTGTTTCTTAGTTGGACGACGTAAGATTTTTCTTGTGACTTGCTTTTTTCCACCTCCACCACTCTCTGCTCGTTACTTTGATCCTAATTTTAAAATAATCGACGCCTTGTTCTGTTCCAGGTCCAAGTTTCGGCTGCTCAGCAGTCATGACATCATGCTGAGCGAGGCGTTGACCTCTGACCCCATACACTCTGAGCTGCTGGAGAAGCTTTCTGCTGCCAGGAACCTGAAGAGCCGGGTTCTGCTTAGGTCCACATCGCTGCAGGTCCTGACGCTAACGTTGCAGAAAATGAGTTAACCTGGAAAAATGACTCAAATTAATTCACATAAAAACAACAAAAACATGGTTTTCTGTCAACGTACAGAGAGCTGAAAGACTGCTGGGTGAGCTGAAAGTGAGTTGTTGAAGCTAAAGAGCAGGACACTAGAGGGCAGGACACTAGCTAAACAAGGCAGGACACTAGCTAAACAAGGCAGGACACTAGCTAAACAAGGCATGCCACAAGCTAAAAAAGGT